AACTAGTTCCCAAACTTCATGTTGCTTGAATTGGTTCAATTCATCTTGTATTGCTCCAATCCAGTATTCATCAGTTAAAGCTTCCTTGACATTTCTTGGTTCAATTTTAGACACAAAACAAGAGTTTGAGATGATTTCTCTAGATCTTGTAATGACTCCACTGTTGGGATCTCCTATGATGAGCTCTTTTGGATGATCCTTCTGAATTCTGATGGAAGGGATCTTGCTAGCTTCCTTTGATTCAGATTATGCTGTGGTGGTGTTGGGTAGATCATTCTGTTGAGTTAAAGTCTCAAAGAATGTCTCAACATTTCAAGGGACATCTGTTTCCTCATGATAATCATCAATTATGACATTTATTGATTCCATCATGGCTTTGGTCCTGGAATTGAATACCCTATAAGCTCTGCTGTTTGAGGAGTATCCCAGAAATATGCCTTCATCACTTTTAGGGTCCAGTTTTCTTCTTTGTTCACGATCTGCCAGAATATAGCATTTGCTACCAAACACATGGAAGTACTTCACAGTTGGTTTTCTTCCTTTCCAGAGTTCATATATGGTGGATGAGGTTCCCTTTCTCAAGGTGACCCTGTTATGGACATAGCAGGCTGTATTCATAGCTTCAGCCCAAAAATACATAGGAAATCTTTTGGCATGTATCATTGCTCTGGAAGATTCCTGTATGGTCCTGTTTTTTCTTTCCACAACTCCATTTTGCTGAGGAGTTATAGGAGAAAAAAATTCATGACTAATTCCTTCTGAGGAACAGAATTCATCAAACTTGCTGTTTTCAAATTCCTTGCCATGATCACTTCTGATTCTGACAATACACCCTTCTTTTTCTCTTTGAATTCTTTTGCACAATTCTTTAAAAACTTCAAATGCATCAGATTTTTCCCTAATGAAGTTAATCCAGGTGAATCTGGAAAAATCATCCACAACAACATAGGCATATCTTTTTCCACCAAGACTCTCCACCTGCATTGGTCCCATCAGATCCATATGAAGAAGTTCTAGAACCTTAGAGGTGGTCAGATGTCTTGACTTTGGATGTGACATCCTAGTCTGCTTACCAACCTGACATTCACCACAAACTCTCCCTTCATCAATTTGCAGTCTTGGAATCCCTCTGACTGCCTCCATGGAGATAATCCTTTTCATTCCTCTTAGATGAAGGTGGCCAAGTTTCTGGTGCCACAGTTTCACCTCTTTTTCTTCTTTGGCAATGGAACACACAGTGGAGAAATTAGTGTTCTCAGGCTGCCACAAGTAACAGTTGTCTTTAGATCTGACTCCTTTCATTACAACTTCTTGTTTTTCATTAATTACAAGACATTCAGATTTTGAGAAATTGACCTTGAATCCTAGATCACACAATTGACTGATACTAATGAGATTAGCAGTCAGGCCTTTTACCAGTAGTACTTCATTCAGGTTTGGAACTCCAGGGCAGTCCAAATTACCAACTCCTTTGATTTCACCTTTAGCACCATCTCCAAAGGTCACAAAACTAGTGGTGTGAGGTTTAACATTATTGAGGAGGTTCTTGATTCCAGTCATGTGTCTAGAACACCCACTGTCAAAATACCAGTCTTCCTTTGCAGACACCCTCAGGGAAGTGTGGGCTATCAGAGCAGTATCCTTTTTCTTCCATTTAGGAGTATGTGGTACCTTTTTAGACTTAGGTTTGACACCTGAGTTCTGATTAGGGTATCCATGCAATCTGAAGCAGAAAGGCTTTATGTGGCCATACCTCCCACAATGATGACATCTCCATCTTTGGTACCTTTTCTTCATATGTCTCTGTTCCTGATGTTGAGAGTTGTGTTGAGACATCTGTTTTGACATTTGTTTAACAGGCCTGATCTTCTTGTCTGCACCAGATTTCTTTGCTTCCACAAATCCTAGTCCAGATTTGTTTCCCACATTTTGTCCAACCTGAAGGATTTCTTCCAATTTGTCTGTTCCATTTGTCAGCATCTTGACAGATTTGGTCATCTGGTTCAGTTGTGAGTTCAGCAATTGAACTTCCCCTTCTAGATGACTTATAGTTTCAAGATCTGCCCTTTTTTCAGCCTCCAGCTTTATGATGAGTTTTGTTTGTTTCTCATTCTGCACCCAGACTTCAGCACTTCTGATACACAATTTCTTGTAAGTATCAGCCAGTTCTTCAAATGTCACTTCCTCATCACTAGTGTCACTTTCAGAGGTACAAACACCAGTTAGAGCAGTAACTAGTTTGGCAGATTCTTCTTCAGAATTACTTTCTGAATCACAGTCAGACCAGGTAACAGTCATTCCTTTCTTTTGTTTCTTAAGAAAGGTAGGACATTCAGCTCGAATATGCCCATATCCTTCACAACCATGGCATTGAATTCCTCTGCCTTGATTTCCCTTCTCTTCTGACCTTGGTCTTCTGCTGGAACTGTCAATGTCAGAGGGGATGTTATGAACATTAGACCTTGACTTTGGATCTATTCTTTTGATAAGTTTGTTGAGTTGTCTTCCAAGCATGGCTATAGCTTCTGAGATATTTTCTACTTCATCCTCCTTGTTTTCAACATCAGTGTTGGATACAAGTGCTATGCTCTTGTTCTTCTTGTCACCATTTTCAGTGATCCCCATCTCAAAAGTCTAAAGAGACCCAATGAGTTCATCCACTTTCAACTTGCTGATGTCCTGGGCTTCCTCTATGGCAGTTACCTTCATTGCAAATCTTTTAGGCAAGGATCTGAGAATCTTTCTCACCAATTTTTCTTCTGACATCTTTTCTCCCAATGCTCCTGAGGTGTTGGCAATTTCCAAGACGTTCATGTGAAACTCATGAATGGTTTCATCTTTCATCATTTTTAGATTCTCAAACTTGGTAGTCAACATCTGAAGCCTTGACATTTTTACTTTGGAAGTGCCCTCATGGGTAGTTTTGAGAGTGTCCCAAACTTCCTTGGCCAGTTCATATTGATGTACTAGTCTGAATATGTTTCTATCAATTCCATTGAACAAGGCATTTAAAGCTTTGGAATTACCCAGGGCTAACTCATCTTCTTCTTTGCTTCATTCTTCCTCAGGCTTCAGACTGATTGTCCCATCTTTCTCAGTTATGGTGGGATGGTTCCATCCTTTGTCAGCAGCTCTCCAGGCCTTTTTGTCCAGTGATTTTAAGAAGACAATCATACGAGGTTTCCAGTAGTCATAATTTGATCCATCCAGAATGGGTGGTCTGTTTCCAAAAACTCCTTCTTTGTCCATAGTGCCAAAAAGTGATATCCCTAGATCTCACCCAGTAATACAGGCAGGGTGCCTGCTCTGATACCAATTGAAATTCTGGCTGCAGATACTCAATGTCACGTTCAATGTTATGACACCGTATCTGACTTTCTATAAGACAGTAAATACAAAAACAGTAAAGAACACAGTCAATTGTTTACCCAGTTCAGTGTGCAACAACACCTACTCTGGGGGCTACCAAGCCAGGGAGGAAATCCACTATAAGAGATATTAATTCAGGAATAAACCAACCAGTTTATCTCCTTCACTTAAGACCTACCCAATGCAACTTCAATCTAAGTACAACTTAAACCTGAGTTCCTACTCACTCCCCCTCAATCACAGCAGTGATACTTAAAACAATTGACTAATGAATTGATGAAGACACTCTTCAAAACACACACTTGATTATGCTTCACAGCTTTTTAATCAAGCAACACAAACACTCTTGCTTCACAGCTTTGAGTGATACATAAACCTAACTTGACTTTGCTTCAAAGCTTTAGTCAAGAGACACAAAACACTCTTGCTTCAAAGCTTTGAGTGATACAAAACCCTTACAATTAAAACCTATTCCAAGTCACTTATCACAATGATACTTGCTTGAATTACAATAGTTAAAACTATATAGCTCCTAAATGATCTTCTATCAAAAAAGGATGAATTTCAAACAGCAGCCCTGTTGAATATATAGCAGCTGCTTCTTCAGTTAGGGTTTCCACAAAAAGCTAGGGTTAATTCCGTTTGACCTTAAGACTTGGTCACAAGACTTTATCAATCAGGTTAGGGTTGAGCTAGGTTAACCCAAAGTCCACGAGAGATTCTGTTCTGGAAAGACTGAGTCATTTTCTTGAAAAATCTCAGAATTAACCAAACTGCATAACTGTTAGATCAGAACAGGATGTCTTAACATTTGTTATGACATCTGAATTCCTGTTTACTGATTTTGGTAAATGTGATCATTTTGCAAAATGCTCAGATACACACTCATAAACAACAGCACCTGTATGCCATTATTTTTCTGCAAAGGTACCTAATAAACCAGTACCTAATAAATCAAAATGTTATGACATTAGTCATGACATTCACACACCTGATTTTGCCAAAAATGCATGCCAATAACTAAACACCTACATATTTGGTAGGTGAGCACATCTCCCCTCTGTTGATCTCTTTTAGATTGAAAAAAAATGTCGAGTATTGGTAGCAAAATAGTGGTGGAAAAGTACAAAATCCAAAGTTTTCTTGAGTATCATTCAAGATAAACATATATTACCTAAATTCATTTGGTCATTTCTCAATTGATCTCTAAATTCTTTTTTAAAAATGTAAATTGAGTGCAAAAGTGAGTAAACTTTTTCAATAATTTCTTCATAAATATTAATATTAATTATAAAGAGTTTTTTTTGTTAATAAAACACTAGTAGTATTAGAATTGGATTTGAAATTGTTTGCACGGGAAAAGATGGTTGCAGATTTATTAATCATGAATTATTTTAATCATATGGGATACTGCAGACTATTGTATAATCTCCATCAATTCATTTTCCAAAAATATGTTTATCACAAGTAAAAGCACACGGTCATTGTTAATCTTTAAATTCATAAATAAGATCATATAGCACAAAAAAACCAGATTAAAATGCGAAGTTCTTTTGTGTATTGGTTCCATATTTTTTGAAAAACTAACTAAAGACTTCAAAAGTTTATCTTCTAGCTTTCTGCTCAAGGCATCAGACTAACTCCAAAAACAGAGCTTCTTGCTTGTTGGTTAGGCCAACCTCTTCCAGTGTCACAGCACTTTCTCCAACACCAAAGGCACGCCTAGGATATGGTCTCACCTGCCCCCAACAATAACATCAAAAACCAAAAAATCGTCAATTTCCTGAATAATTGGATCTATACCTAAAATAAGAATTATAAGATGAAGAAAAGTTGGGGTTTCTCACCAATCTGTAACTGCTTGGTTTAACTTGTCTACCAATATCGATGAAGTCGAAAAGAGACTGAAAATTTCCAGGAGCAAACTCAATTTAGCAAGTGTACACTGAAAGGAGAAAAACACAGCATATTTGTAACAAGCATCTTTACCTGGAGCTTATCCGATCTTAGGAATCGGCGTCCCCGACGGCTGCCATCTGGCATTTTTACCAGCAGGTTTACAGCATTATCATCACCTGAGGCTGGCTCTGGTGGTAGAGAGACTTCTTTGGCAGCTAGCTGTGTTTCTAATTCCTGACAGTTTATGCAAATGGCATGAGTAAACACGGAAATGAGAATTTGATTTCTATTCCGGGAAAGTAGGAGTGATATAAAGTTTGCATAGCCAAATATATCCAAGGGGAAATTTAAAATAAAAAAATAAAATAAAAAAACCTTGAAGTTAGTTACAAATGTATTCTTACCTGCTCTTCCTGCAACTTCCTTTGAGATTCTTCTGCCTTCCGTCTTTCCTCTTCGCGAGCAGCCTCGGCTTCCTCTATGGCTTTCAACTCTTTTTCTCTGTCTGCTTGTAATGATGCAAGGTATTCATCATCCTGCATCAAATAAACATACACAACAATAGCCGCTATCAGACCATCTCATAAAACTTATAACTATAACCTACTCATTTAAGAAATAATTGGCACCTGTTGTTCCCTTATCAAGCGTTGAGTCTCCAATGATGGTGAAGGTGGGCGATAAGCAAGAGGTGCGGGCTGAGGATTGAAACCCCTATTCTGCATGAACTCATGTGGTGCATAAGCATGGCGATAACCACTTCCTTCCGGGATTCCACCAAACATTGCAGCCTCAAGCATTACTGCTTCATCATGTTCCACTGAAGAAATGCCACCCCACTGCAAAGATTGGAAAGTATGATGCAAGTACAGGTTGAGATGACATAGCATGTGAATAGAATTTTATCCATTTTGAAAATTTATAAAGTGAAGGACTATACTTCATCAGAGGGAAAGGAAACATCATTTTGCGGAGGAGGACTGCTGCTTTCCTGACGTGTTGTGCTAGGCAGTGTGCTAGACTCGATAACGTCAACATCTTTGCCGGGTCCTGTGGAGCCGAGCGACACATTTCTAGACCTGTGCCTAACCAAAGGCATCTCCTCTACATCTACATCTTCATCTTCATCTTTAAAGGATAAGCTTCCTGCCTGCAATCTACAGTAACAAGATAAATGCCTTTAAGGAAAATGCTGTGTTCACTGCAGCAGCTACACATGCAGATATAATTTACCTCCCATTCGAAGATACTTCCCCTAATTCAACCGCTGGTGCCTTAGATGGTCCTGCTGAAGGTGCTCCAACATCACCTTCTTGTACACGCCGTGCTTTTTCTTGTTCTGCTGTCTGGATTTATTTTATGTTAGAAGCAATTCAGGCTCCAAATTTCCAATATAAAAGGAAAGACATGTTACAGGTGACTACAGGAATAAGAGAAGCTAAATTAAAGGTGTACCTTCAGGGACAATGAAACTGCATGGGCAAGCTCAGGATCCTCCACAAATGTTTGCCTTGGGTTAGGCCCAGATTCACTTAAGTCCTGCACCATGTGGGAGATAGAAACTCAAACAAACTATAAAAATAGAGAAGATTGAAAAAAGTCCATTAAGAAATAAACATACAACTTGTCTGCCAAGTTCGTGATTGGTGTAATTTTCCTCAGCCTCCCGTTTGGATGCCTCAATGGCTGCACGAATCATTGCTTCTTCTATGTCATTGCTACTATCTGGTAAATTATCAAAGTTGGGAGCACTAGGTATTACACTACTGTCAGGCAAAGTATGAGTCGGAGCAGGTGGAGTATCGTCATCATCATCATCAATTATTACGACACTCCCATGTATATCCGAACCTTGGGCATGAACAGTTCCAGTGACATCTTCAACGATTGGAGTGTGGCCAGCTTGAGGAGTGGACTGACTACCATCCTTAACCTCTATTGGAATCTCCCTTACCTCTCTTGGATGTGTAACAAATGGCCTCTGGTTTGTTGAACCGAGATGAGTATCAAATATACTTCTACCAAGTGTAGGATCAAGAAGAGAAAATGGATGGAGATTTCTGGCTGCAGATAGAAGAGATGGAGGTCTAAGAATTTCATCATCACGTGGATCATCATCTATGTCCATGAAATCCCCTTGAGGAAATGAGGCAGAGCTGTCATGAGAGTCAGCAATCAATGTCAGAAGTACAAAGACGAATGTGTAGATTGAAAATATTAACGAGCCAGCAATCAATGTCAAAAGTACAAAGACGAATGTGTAGATTGAAAATATTAACAAGCCAACAATCAATGTCGGAAGTACAAAGACGAATGTGTAAATTGAAAATATTAACAACAGAGCAGCAATCAATGTCAGAAGTACAAAGACAAATGTGTAGATTGAAAATACTAACAACGAGCAGCAACCAATGTCAGAAATACAAAGACGAATGTGTAGATTAAAAATATTAACAAAGAGCCAGCAATCAATGTTAGAAATACAAAAACAATGTAACACCGCAATGACAAAGTACATTTCTAAATAATCACTTGCTTACTAATATACATGAAAAAGGGTGTACCTGGTCATCGAATTTCTGTCTCCTTCGCTAAAAAATGCATTTACAGCTTCATTAAGACTACCACCATGCTCCTGTCATACCAAAAAAAAATCACAAATGAAGAAGATGTATATATTTAAGACATCTCCAGATATCTCCAACACTGCTGAAGAGACCTTGCTCTATACACTAGTTTTATAAGAAAATAAAACTCCGGATCCATATAAGAAAAAGTTCAAATATAAGTTAGTTGAATAATCTTTGTACTCATAATGGGGACCGGAGGGAGTATTAACCAATATCAGTGTAGAGCAGTTAGAAGCTAACTAGCATAAGAGTGATAGATTTTTTATCTATAACTTCTAGCACAAGAAGCAAAAGTGAAATCCCTAGCTCACGTGCAAGCATCAGATCAATGATATAAGAAACTAAATCATCTGAGACTACATTAGATGGAATCAAGGCAATGTATACTTGGCACCACAAACCAAAACAGATAAAATACTTAAATTCATCCCTAAAGGCTGAAGCTACTTGTCAATTCCCAATTTTATTTACCCAAAAACAACAAGAAAAGAATTGAAAACACCGCAAAATTCACAAATCAGCGATAACAGAGCAAAATTAAACTGAGGAATCTGATTTTCCTCATGTTAGTCAACGAGATCCCAAATGAATAGCTTTTTCACTTTGCTATCAACGATAAGAATTATAAGCTCATTCCCTCAGATTCATCCAACATCATAGTAAAAAAAATAACAGGAAATTTATATGCAAATCGAGTCTCATTGATCGGTGAACAAACATAACACAATTCTTCAACACAAAAGTTAAAAAAGAAAAACAAAAATTCTAAAGTGCACAAAAACCCTATTGATGAGATAAAACATCACAGAAAATCCAATAACCTATTATTTCAATATGAATTAAAATCTAAACACAGACAATTCGATAATCAGAAAACTAAAAAAGAAAAAAAGAAAAAGCACCTGTAGTTTTTGCAGTGCCACCGGTTCAGAAACACCAGTTATACTAATAAAAGTATCAACGGTCTCTTGATTTGGCGTAGCCATTGAAATCGAAATCGAAATTTACCTGTTAGATGATGAAAGAGAGGGGATTTAGTTTTGTTTTGGTGCATAAACCGAACTGAAAATATCGAATCACATACCAGTGGGTCCGCACTCCGTAGAGAGAGAGATAGAGGCGTTTTAGAGTTTAGAAGAGGGATAGTAGTTTCGAGGGTTATAACTACAACAGTTGGGCTTTTATTTTCAATTTAGGTTAATAATATTGCAAATTAACATATACCCTAAAATATACTAATGAAAATATGAGTGGAATTCTAATGTTATACGCCATTCGGTTTTCCAATTCAACTTCACTTGGTGAACAAGCATCCTTAGATACTTCCAAACAATCACCTTTACACTTTCTCTATTTTTCCTCTATACACCTTTATTTTTTATCAATTATTTTATTCATTATTAAATTTGAATTCTCCCCTTTTTTTTAATCAATTTATTGATTTTTTTTTGTATGAAAATTACTTTATTGCTTGTTTAAAAGATTAATGTGAAGTAAGACTATGTGAGAAATATTACTTAACAGGTTGCATTAAAATATCAATACAATTTTAAAATTTTACTAAAAGTACATCAAAAATGATTTGTTTTTATGTAAATGGAATTTAGTTAATAATTTTCGATGCACGTTATTAGTTCTGTTGTTAGCATATTTATGAAACTTAGTTTAAAGCGAAAGTTATTAATTATTTTACCAAATTTATCTTTTATAAAATTACGCGCGAAATTATTATTAATTATAATAAAGAATTCTTTAATATAAAGTTTTGTTATAAAATACTTAAAATAGAAATTAAATCACTATAAACTGACAAAATATAAGTATAAGGATAAAATAATCAGTCCAATTATATAAAATAAAATATATTATATTCATTAAGTTTATGTATTTAATTTTCTCACTTTGCTATCACTTCCATAAAATGAGAAACAATTTACTATTCAGATGAATCAATTGTGTTAGTAAAATATAAGAGTTATTGACGATTATTTATAAAGATATTAATGACAATTTATTTTGTTCTAATAAGTTTAGTGGCAAAATTCACACACACTAACTATATATATATATATATATATATATATATATATATATATATATATATATATATATATATATATATATATATATATATATATATATATATATATATATATATATATATATATATATATATATATATATATATATATATATATATATATATATATATATATATATATATATATATATATATATATATATATATATATATATATATATATATATATATATATATATATATATATATATATATATATATATATATATATATATATATATATATATATATATATATATATATATATATATATATATATATATATATATAGTAACCAGACATTTAACTCTCTGGTTAAAAATGAATTCAATTGATATGGGTGAAAGGAGAGTCTAACATCACTTGGATTAAATGATCTGGTGTTTATAAACCCGAGTAGAGAGATGGGTATGATTTTTGGGATGTTCGCTTGGTTAATCTACTTCTGCTTGGTAAATAGCGATGGAGGTTAGTCTCGTAAACTACCATATGGCATGCTATTTTTTCTAATATATTTTTTCTTATATATATATGAGATCTATAGTATTTCCTTCTTTAGGAGATAGGTCTTTTAGCCGATAAACATCATATACTTGGTAAAAAGTTATTTATCTTCTTTATTCGAATTTTTTTTTAGAATAATCATGTATTAAAAAAAAATTCACAAATAACCATGTTTCGGAAAAAATTATGCAAATAATCATGTTTTAGAAAACTCTCCAAGGGAGGAGTCATCTCATTTGGCGCTTACACCTAATTTTTAAGGGGAGACGCCATCTCACTTGGCGCCTAGGTGTTAAAGCTTTGCCCTAAGTCAAGTGAGGTGGCGCCTTAGTGCAATTGCAAGGTAAATTTTCGTGTTTTTTATTTTAAATATGGTGCGTTACGTATTCGATATAGGATCAACAAAATTGACTTTTTATTTACAAAATATGATTACACACATAACTATTACATAAAAAAAAAACAGATTAATCAGTGGCCTCCCCGGAACCCGGTAATGACTTCTGGTTCCGCATCCCCGTCCTCGCCTTTCCCGTGCTGGGTTTCATCGCATTTCCTGCTGTGGCAGGGTCGATGGCCCAGCGAAGTCAATGCGTTCCGGATCCATGAAATCAGTCAGATCTCCATATCTAGAAGATCCACTTTGGTACAGTCGGTTACCCATACCCTTAAAGTTTGGTCGTGTTGGTGGTGGGTGGGGTTCCATGGTTGGTCTGTAGCATTGGTCGTCTGAGTACGGGGGATAGAAAGGAAATGGATCTTGGGGTGTTTGGTATTGAGGATGTTGGGTGGTTTGGTGATGTTGTGGTTGATGGTAAGTTGGGTCGGTAGGTTCATAATCTTCGGACAATCCCAGATCAGGGCTAAGGTTGGATGTTGAGGGGTCCATATTGGGATATGTAGAAGACTGAAATTGTGTGTGGGGTATGCGGGTGTGTTGGTATTGTGATTGAAATTATGGTTGGGTGTGAGGCATATGGGGGTATTGGTACTGAGGTGGTGATTGTGGTTGGTTGTGGGGCATGTAGGTGTAATTGTATTGTGGTGGTGACTGTGGTTGGGTGTTTGTGGTTCTGTTTCGTCGGGGGGGTTGGTGGGAGGTTGATGTGTGTTGGGTTTGTTGTTGGGGAAATGAGGGTTATGCCCATTGTGTTCGTGGGTCAACCAAATACCTTGGATGAGACGCGTATATTCCAGGGGTACTAACCGATATGTACCAAGATAAATACTGATTCGTGTGTCGCATATTACCATGGTTGAGGAAAATTGGAAATTGCAAGACATGTCGGTGACGCCTCTGCCATATCTTACACCATTCTGGAGCAAAGTCTTTCTAGTTGGTGACTCCATTGGGCGTCGACCCTTTTGAGATGCCACGGGGACAAACAAGTCGGATCGCTGGGTATCTCTTGATGCATTCTAAACTGCATCTTTACACGGTCGCTGTGGTGCATCTCCATAACATTGAATTGTATGATTGCAGTCTTTACGCTCCAAATTGCTGCATCCCCGGGGTTTGATTCATGGCCCAAACCCAAATATGGTCTCCAGACAAACTGCAGATAAAATTAAATCAGGTTAATGAAAACGTAATATATAAATAATTTAAAAGTAGAAAAGTTGAAAGGTACGACGTACATCATACGGGCCAAGGTGATCCAATAGATTGCGGTATAGTGCGACATTGAATCTTGGATTCTTGCCGTAATCCATACCCCTCACGTAATACCTAAAGGAAATGAAAAATATTTTATTTTTATCATATATTTGGTGAAGAGATGAATAGTAATAAATGATAACTTGATGACTTACTTTGTTGCGTATGGGAAAACGAATGTGTTGTTGTTGACGGGGTTTAGGGACTCCATCCTCCACCAACCCCCGGCTTGAAGTAAAAAAGCGCAGCCATAAAATGTACATTTTTCCTTGATTGCATTTTGTTGTACCCCAAAATTTTCCCACCCATATTTCTCAATACATGTCAAGAAAGGTCTTCAAATTGCTCAAGGAAGTCCAAGGGTTGACCAGACAAATTCTCTCATAAGGCAGTCTACCTCAAATTAGGGTTTCATTTTGCATCAAGATGCTTGAGCCCAAAGGATCCCAAATGCTCATCATTATCCTAATATGTTCTCAAGATCATCCATGTCAAGTTTCAAGCCTTGCAGAGAAAATTTGCTAAGTCAATTGCTCAAAGGCCTGGAAATCGACTGTGTTAGGGCAAAAATCAACAGTGGCCCACATACAGTCAAACTTCAATATTTTTGGCCAACATTCTCATTTTGAAGTATTATCCATCATTTGATCAAGGGTTGATCATGATTCCTCAAGGATTGCTCACATTTCATCAAAACCCAAAAGTTGCTAAATTAGAGTTTTGTAGGAAAAGTCAACTCAACTTTGACCAAGCATAACTTTCTCATACTTTATAAAAAATAACCCATCCAAAGCTCATTTTTAAGAGGATGTAATTCCATACAATTCATCTTCATCTCCCAAGTTCAAAATATGCACTCACAAGAAGATATGAATTTGGACATTATAGGTCATTTTGGAAAGTTAACAAAAACACCTTTTGGGTCAAAGCTTTGTACATGAACATAGAAGACTCAATTGAGATGAGACCAAAAGGGTTGCTTAGATGACATCTTAAGATTTCTAAAAAGTCCAATAACACCTCTCTAGGGTCAAAATTGAGAGAGTTATGCATTGGCCAAGTTGACCCTTTTTGCAAAATTTCCAAAAGTCAAATGTGTTCAAAATTGCATTTTTGTCAAATAGGCCCAACTTTTTATGCTTGCACTGAGTTTGTAATGTGACCCACGACCCATGAGCCCTTCCATTTGTCATTCTTTTATTTATGTTATTTATTTTGATTTTATTTCATTTAAATCAAATAAAATCAATATAAAATAATGAAAATATCAAAAACTAATTATATCTTGAGATTTTGTGCATGATTAGGTTCATTATATAGCTGGAGACAAGATCAAATCGTGCAAGCCTTTATATGAACACAAAAAGATTGAATTTTCTTGTTTTGGAAAGATTTGGTGCAAGGATTGAATCATGAATCAATATTCATAATTGGAAGAAATTTGATACAAAATTGCAACCCTAATACACTCTAGTATACATAAGGAACAAGTGCAGATCAAAAGGAGGAGGCTAGAGGCGTGCAAAGGCAAAGAACAAATTGCAAAAACTCAAGAAAAAAGTGCAAACTGATTTCCAGGTTTCATGCCATCTCAAGCCATTCTAATCATACCAATCAATTGATGGACTCCCCAGGATCGTGTTTCAATCGCTAGCAAGCTTCCCCACACCTTGAAACGCCCTGTAAGAGTCACACGATTTGCATATTTTCTTGAATTCGAATACGTTAATTATGGCATATTTAGC